CTTCTTTTGTATGCCAACTGATGATGCTGCTCTTCAAATTCTGCCCTGCTCAACTGCATTTTGAGTTAAGCTATTATATTTTAGGATAAATTCTCAGTACATGCTGACATGCACACCTCATAATACAAAATGAAAATTTTGATGTGTTACAGGTGGGCCTGTCGTATATGTGATATGAGCTCAGGACGTTTAAGGCCATGTGACTTCAAGTATAGTAAACTATTAGCTTCTCTTCAAACTTTCAGATGCACATATAATTTTGAGATAAGGTACTGCTTTTTGAATTCTGACGCATCCTTAGATCCAACAATTCTTGTCTACTTTATGTCACAAAGCTAGAAAAACACCATTCGATGAAGTGTTCTGGACTATCAAACATTAAAGATACATAAAAAATCAACTATGCATATCAGTTTTAATGTGTCACATGCACTTTAGTTAATCCATGCATTTGGCAATAGTACATTTCCCTGTATTGCAATGAGATCCCTTCTGTCACATTCTGACTGATGACATACAATTTGCATTGCATACTGCCATAGACTGCCAGTTGTTCAAGCTGAGCCTTTTAAGAAGGTTATTTCGAAGGCAATCAGTCATCTCACGAAGCAAGTGCAGAATGCCAAAGCTTTGATTGATGGAGTCCTGGTATTTACACAACTTCTTAGCCCTTATTCAGCTGGAGAAGTGAAAAAAAAGATACTATGAGTCAGAATAATTTGCATTGTCTTAGAATTTTGGAGTCCTCTAGTTTTGTTTGTGCTTGACATCCTCTCATAGTTATAATGTATTTTCAACTAGTTTTTGGATGGCATGGACAACACTTTGGAGGGACCACATAACGTTGAATTTCTTGTGCCTTTCAAGAACAATTTGCCTGCCGAAGGTGCCCTAGCTAATGCTATTTCCTATTATATGTGATGATCAGTTTCTCTTTATGTCATTATGGGAGCCTTATGGTAAATGCTTGCACTAAAGAATGCAGTTTAGAAGGTGTTGCTGGGCTACTTCTCTTTGCTGGATCTGTCAGCGCCTTGGCATACCTGGGCCCAAAAGAGTCCATTGCAGAAGTTATATCTGATCTAAAGGTAGTTATAATATACTAATTTCCATTATTTATCACTGCACCTTGTCACTTTTTCCCATGATGGACTAGCCAGAACTTTATAACCACCTTCACATGCTAAGCTTCTATGATTGAATCTGATTGATTATCAAGGAAGTGGCAATGCATTTAGTGGTGAAAATGTGAGCAAGCTCTTCAGTTAGGATTTCAGCACTGGATTGGGAATTTCAAGAATCTGATCCTGGAAAAAAAATACTGAAACTTGAGTTGTGACTGTAATGTAGCTATATGTCTTGAGTTAAGGAGCTTTATGGCTACTGGAATTTTGATTCTGAGGTATAATTTTTTTAAAGATGGGATTCCCTTATATGGTACTGAATAGTGAATAATGTCCAAAGGGTTCATATCATGAATCTCCCTTGCATTGGTTGATTTCTAGTCCCAACCATCGTTTTATAGAACTACTCGAACACTTGTCGCTGTTCAGCAAACTAATTAGTGCTTTGTGCTGTCTGTCGACCTGTGCGTATTCAGCTGGACATCATCACAAGCCTGAGAAGCAGATTGGACATCATACTAGATGAGGCAGATGATGACTCTACTACTAACAATTTGGAGAATTCACTGTCTCAGAAGGCCACTCAAGTTGTTTTTCATGAGTTGAGGTACTTCATATTTTCCATGGGACATTTATATTTTGGAGTGAATCAAAGTACACAAACCATGTCTTACATTTTCAAGAAGTCAGGCCTGTTTGGTGTTATGGTCCAAAGGAACATATCTTGATGATATTAAATTAAAGCATTAAGATTTCCTGTATTTACAATAGATAGAACAACAAATATGTTGCCACTTAGTCTGTTGTTTTCTTCATGATCTTTGCAATGTTTTATGCAGCTGATTACATCCTTCTTTTCGCATACAGAGCACCTTACAGTTTTCCATTCCCTAGAAGAATTCTGATACCTTGGTTGGCTGGCTCCTATATTTGTGACTACTTGCAACAATCAGAAACAATGGAGGTATTTGTTTTTTCGTGTAGCTAATCTGAATGCACAAGGGGCCTTTTAATTGTCTTAATTGTCAAAGCCTACTAGTAATATTCCAATTCTTCTAGAACACATTATTCTTATATAGTACTCCCTCCGTCTCATAATATAAGGTATTTCTCCTTCAAATTTATCCCAAAACATAAGGGATTTTAGGATTCAGAGTCAATACTTTATTCTCCACTTACCAACTTTTATGCACTCTAGGGTGTGTTTAGTTCACGACAAAATTGGAAGTTTGATTGAAATTGGAACGATGTGATGGAAAAGTTGGAAGTTTATGTGTGTAGGAAAGTTTTGATGTGATGGAAAAGTTAGAAGTTTGAAGAAAAAGTTGGGAACTAAACCAGACCCTACTTTATTCTCCACCATCCACTTTTATACTAGTTTATTCCCCAATCTACCAACTTTTATACTATTTTATTCTTTCACCTCTCACCTTTTGTACTATCACGTCATTTCACTACTTCCTTAATTTTTACCAAAAATTACATAATCCCTTATATTATGGGATGGAGGAAGTAGTATTCTATATGTTGTTCGCTGGTTGGTTTGTGGTATGTTAGTTTGTCTAACATATCCATGATCGGCTAGAATAAATGATAAGGTTTGGTTTGGCTGCTTGACACCCTTATGTGTGACATGTGCAGGATGCCATGGAGCGCTGCAAGGAAGTGATGTCGCTTGAAGCAGATATGGGAAACTATTCGATCGTAGAACCAGAAAGTGCATCGGCTGCGACGCTAGGATCGTTTTGGGATGTGGTCCCTGGAGCTTTGTCAAAAGCGCCTTCAGAGCCTGGTCTGAAAGAGATGAACTCTGGACAGAATGGCTCGAGGAAGACGCATGGCAGCAGTTTCAGCATTCTAATGGCGTTTGTAGTTCTACTGATTGCCGTGTTGGTTGGATGCATATTCACATTGTCTGCCACCTTGAAGACCTGATCATGTCAAATCGACCGATATGGCATATTTTCTGTTTTGTCCAGAAAGAATTAACTCCTGGAGTATGATGAAGAAAATAGTGGACGTCTAGATCGCTAAAAATCTGGTATTTCTTGTGCGGTGTTCAACAATTATCTATCTTGTGTGACAGCTGTGGGTGAAATCTAATTAATTCCCATAACATGAACCGTAGAATGTGCCGCACATCGATGATCCGTCTCTTTGATGAGAGTGACAACTGTGTACTAGTAAGTTACTATAAGCTCGCTAGGTTGGTCCTAAGTAGCAAGAATGCAAGATTCGTGGCTCTCTTTCCACCCAACTCATTCCGGACAAGAGATGGACGGCACATGTTAGTTAGATTGTCTTTTGGCATCGAATGTGTCCCCCTCCTAATCTTTGCATTAGTTCTGTTGGTTATTTTAAATTAATAATCAAGGAATATGTGACGTTTTCACCTTGGGGAAGCTGCTATCGAAATGCATTCCCCTAAAATTATGGGCCTGTTTGGTACAGCTCTAACTCCTAAATTTAGCTCCAAGAGTTAGGTCTGGAGTGGAGTTGTGGAGCTGCCTAAACCCAGCTCCACAACTCTAGTTCATTTTGTGAGAGAGCTCCACCCAACTCCACTCCCAGTTTTAGTGGAGCTGAAACTGTTTGGCTGAGCTCCAGCTCCAGGAGGGGTAGAGCTGGAGCTGGAGCTGTGCCAAACAGGCCCTATCTTCTTACTTTGAAGGTGCTGTCCGTCGGTATCAGATAATCTCTATCACGTTGATCTAGTTGTATCGGAAGATAACATTAATATGTTATAGAAAGAAGCAATTCTCAGCTATGAATTGATAGGGGAATTTGGCATCAAAAGTCAGCGAGCAAACAGCTGCTTGCTTACCATCATGTCGTCTGTATATGTTAGGATTTCGAGATGTGAAGAGAGGAATATATTGACAATGACCTGGATAAATCTCGGTGCATGCCGTTGCAGCCAAACTGAAAGGAAAGGGACAATGCTGTTCCATATTTATATATGTAAATATTTGACGCTGTTAACTTTTTTAAATATGTTTGACCGTTTGTCTTATTAAAAAACTTAAGTAATTATTAGTTTTTTTCCTATCATTTGATTCATTATTAAATATAATTATATTTATACATATAGTTTTACATATTTCACAAAATTTTTTGAATAAGTCGAACGATCAAATATGTGCTTAAAAGTCAATGGTGTCAAATATTTATAAACGGAGGAAGTACTAAAGACAATATTTTATGTAGAGTACTTAAGATTTTACCTGAGAGAATGAGGCCGGTCTGTTCATTCGTCCCTTGGTTGCATGAATGGGACACTACAATACTGCTACTCTAAATTACGTAGACACTACTACACAGGAGTACGTTTGACATTTTATCCGGCTGGACAGGATAATCTAGATTATCCTCCTTTCCAGTTTCCACTGTTGCCGCTGGGGCCAATCCCTCCTTGGACTCCGGCCACGATCAGCTCCTCGGCATGCACATCCTCGTGCCCTCCATCTCCAACCACGACTTGACATGACACATCAGCGCCGCGCTGCCACATAGGATCTCGCTGGAATCATGGTAAACTGAGATCGAAATAACACGCTTAGGAGCTGTTTGGAAGAGTTTAATTTGGAGAAGCCGGAAAACCTCTAATTCATTTGCTAAATTTCACATCTACATATTCTCAGAATCTAAATAAAAATCTATACTGTTTAAAGAAGGTTCTAGTAGCTAGAAATTAAACTGTAGCTGCCAGAAGCTACTCAAACATGCCCTAAACAAGTTCTAAGATCTTCTATCTACATTTTGAGAGTACGAGGGCATGGGATGGATGGACGAACGAGTTTAAGGAAAAAAATATTCTTTATGATACATATATAAACTCTTTTTCACCGTTTAAATCATTTCCCATAAATTGGAAATAGTAGTTCCATAAATGTAACAGTTATGAGAGTTTTTCTAATAATAAATTTGTTAACGGCATTTTCACGGAATTTAGGAGGACATACTTGTGTTTGGAGGGTGTAGTTGACGAGAAGTTATACTGTATTAGTTGACCATGGCAGAAATACATCATCAGTGACAAATACTAGAGACAGGTAGGATCCTATAAATCCTGCGCGGCGAGCAGAGAAGAGAAGAGACGAGCAGCGGTGATGGCCGGCGTGGGCGTGGTAGTAGATCCGGAGGCGGTGGGCGGCGGTGGAGATGGAGGTGGAGATGGGCGGATGAAGGAAGGGTTGGCGCGGCGGGCGGTGGAAAACCTGAGGTTCCGGTCGGTGTGGGGCGAGGTGAACGGCGCCATGGGCGACCTCGGGACGTACATCCCCATCGTGCTGTCGCTGGCGCTGTCCCGGCAGCTGGACCTCGGCACCACCCTCGTCTTCACCGGCATCTACAACGCCATCACCGGCCTCCTCTACGGCGTCCCCATGCCCGTCCAGCCCATGAAGTCCATCGCCGCCGCCGCCCTCGCCGACCCCTCCTTCGCCATCCCGGAGATCATGGCCGCCGGCATCCTCACCGCCGCCTTCGTCCTCTTCCTCGGCCTCACCCGCCTCATGGACCTCGTCTACCGCTTCGTCCCGCTCTCCGTCGTGCGTGGCATCCAGCTCGCCCAGGGCCTCAACTTCGCCATGGCCGCCGTCAAGTACATACGCTACGAGCAGGACTTGGGCAAGGGCAAGTCCCTCGGGCGGCGCCCCTGGGTGGGCCTCGACGGCCTCGTGCTCGCCATCGCGGCGGTCTGCTTCATCGTGCTCGTCAACGGGGCCGGAGAAGAGCAGGAGCAGCGTCAGCAGCAGCAGCAGCAGCAACAGTGGTGGCGTCGTCGGTTGGGTTCCGTTCCTTCGGCTGTGGTGGTGTTCGTGGTGGGCGTTGCGTTCGCGGTGGCGCGTCACCCAGCGGCGGTGAGGGAGCTGCGCGCTGGGCCGTCGCGGATGCGGGTGGTGCACATCTCTCGGGAGGCGTGGAAGCAAGGGTTCATCAAGGGCGCGCTGCCGCAGATCCCGCTGTCGGTGCTCAACTCGGTGGTGGCGGTGTGCAAGCTGACGCGCGACCTGTTCCCGGAGCGGAAGGAGTCGCCGACGTCGGTGTCGGTGACGATGGGAGCCATGAACCTGGTGGGGTGCTGGTTCGGCGCCATGCCGTGCTGCCACGGCGCGGGAGGGCTGGCGGGGCAGTACAAGTTCGGGGGGAGGAGCGGCGGGTGCGTGGCGGCGCTGGGCGTGCTGAAGCTGGCGCTGGGCCTGCTGCTGGGCGGCTCCATGCTGCGTGTCCTCGTCCAGTTCCCCGTCGGTCTTCTCGGCGCGCTGCTGCTGTTCGCCGGAGTGGAGCTCGCGGCGGCGGCGAGGGACATGTCCACGAGGGCGGAGGCGTTCGTGATGCTGCTGTGCACGGCGGTGTCGCTGGTGGGCTCCAGCGCCGCGCTCGGCTTCCTCTGCGGGATGCTCGCCCACGCCCTTCTCTACCTCAGGGCCTGCGCGCTCAGGGAACGCATCGTCTCATCTCAAACGGATTTGTAATTCCAATTCCATTTCACTATCATCTCAAAAAACGCCAGCCAAACATTCATAAATAATCACTCAATACAGCTCGTTCCGTATGCTGTCCAGGAACATTCTCAGGTCCCTTGCTTTCCTCTCGTGTATTACATCATCATCATCGTGATGAACCCTTGATCTGTCGCCTATGGCCGGCGACGGAGAAGATAGGTCGATGGTGGTTCCATGGCCGACCGATGCCACACCACCACCACCTCCTCCTCCTCCGTCTGTCTCAGTGCTGTGTGAACCAACATTGCTTATGTCTGCCAGGGCTCTTCTTCCACCTTTCATACCATTATCACCACCAGCCAGGGGTGAAGACAGATCAATCAGCTGGTTGTCAACATCACTAGTACTTGATTGCGTGCTAAAACTACTTTCTGACTCCATCTTGTTCATGTTCATACCAGCCACATTGACATCCTCGGCCATCATCTTCTTTTGGGACTTGGAGAGCTTCCGAAGAGGAGGAGAAGGAGACGACAGATCAACTACATCTTCCACAGCCACAGTGTAGGCTGCTGTCAGAGTCTGACACACACTGGCTGTAGCACCCAATATGCCACCACTATCAGCTTCAATACCAAGCAGCAACTCTTGGAGCTGTTCATCAACATCTTTCACTGCAGCCTGCCCTGATTTCTTTGGCCTTGCTCTCCTCTTCTGCTTCTTCTCTTCACCCTTCTTCTCCAAAAATTCTGTTATTTTCTCCGGGCACGCACTGCAATTGCACAGGCAAAAGCATTTAGGAAGGGCAAGAATCCTCCTCCTTAAGAGTAAAATGAAAAGTGCATGAGCGGCAATGGTTTGTTGCATCAAGCAACTAACTTCTGGATTCAATAGACTTCTACTTGAACTCCTAATATGTGTCTTATGCATGCTTTCTGTGCATAATCGCACCTCGCAATATTCAGAAAAATGTGCCAGCAGCACACAATCACTGTTGCTATTGCCGGATAAGAGAGGACTGTTACAGTGTTACTACCTTTTAACAAGATCCCCAGGGACTACTGAAACTTGGAGCCCTTCTATATTTCTCCATGAAACCTCATAACATTCATTCCCATGAACTTTCCTCTGCTTCACAATCGCCAGTACAGGGCATGGTACTGGTATCTGTAAATTAGATACTTAGACTTGAGAAAGGTACATGTAAAACGTTTGCTTCAGACAGACCAAAGTTTTTACCTCACTCAACAAAGGTTTTATTCCTAGTGCTGAAGACGCAGAGCGAAGGTCTGAAAACCTCCGAAGTTCTCTCTCAGCAATCTTCGGAAGTATATATTGATCTGCAGACATACAGAAGAAAACAAGTCAGGATCCATACCTATTAAAACATGTTACTGCCTTCCTCTTGCACATACTAATAATGCTAATCATCATAACAGTCGAGGACTTCAGAGAGTACCAGTTTTCTCTGGACTCCAATCAAAATATTCCTCGCATATTTTTTGAAGCTGTGGCCGAAGAAATGGGTGCTGTCCGCATACCCTATGGAGATAGAACAAACGAACCTTCAGAAAAGCAATTTAAGCAACCCCTATCTTTAACACCCTGATCAATTTTCCACAGAATCACCCAAAAATGACAAGAAAAATATAAAAAGGTGAACACATACTGAAAGCAAAGTATCATATCAGCAATTGGGGCTGAACCTCAAAATCCGAGACAAATAAACTATACAGCGAAGTAGTTTTCCACTAACTCTTTTACCTCTGCACAGCTTCCGAATCAGGTGAGTGACATTTTGGCTCCAGATATGCATTTATGACGTCACGAAATTGACCATCAGAGTCTTGAGTCATGCCAACCTCTGTAAAACAAGGATATTACATAAATGATGTTGCGTATTCCCTGTCCACAACATGTTTATGGCATAGCTAATTACTTAAATTTTAGAGAAAAGCACCACAGAGTCTGCTTACCGCAGGAACTTGCTTTGGGGCACATGTCGTCCACCTTGTTTCCACTATTTTTCCCTTTACATTTTCTAGTAGCTTTAACTCCATTAGACAAAATCTGATCAAGAATTAAATTGTCGCCTACAGACTTAACAAGCCGGCATGCTGTTTCCTGGAACATTAAAAGAGCACCATTACAAATATAATGATAAGCTCCATGATTCCCATCTTGTCGTCGAGTGTCAGATTTCATATAGAAACATATAAGAACAGATGCATGTTATACTAAGACAATGAAAATGACAGTTTTTTTTGTACTTACTGGGCCAAACCCATTAACTCCATTAGAATAATCACTACCAAGGAGCACTGCAAGTGATATCTGGAAAGGTTGTCAAGTCAGGACAATAAGAATTTACGCATTATCACACAAAAAAAAAATCCTGAGAATCAGAAGCCCAAAAAAAAGTCATTGGTGGGAGATGTAATATTGTTATTGCATCATATTGTCATACAAGTCATCAGCAATTACATGCAACATCCCGTAATCTCTGACTAATACATGATAATTACCCAAAGGATTTTTAAGAGTGCGCTGAGACATTTTCTTGTGATATCAGAGTTGAGAAAATGGTGTTGCTCTATGCATACAACTTGCAAGTTCTTGTTTTAAATCAGCACATTGCATTCACTTACTAAGCTGTTGTGCCTGCAGTGCAGTCTACTCTTAAAGGTCTTTATCTATTAGTTGCTTTGACCGTGTTAAGCCATTAACTGACAAAAGTCTAAGTGATCTTTCTAGGAGCATAAGGGGCATATTTAAGTAAGTTTATTTTACATCTTTGTGATATGTCACAAGCAGTCAAAACATTTGTTCAGAAGAGATCCCATAAGTTGAAACTCGGGCAGAACAAATTCATTGCAACTTACCAGCGAGTTCCTGCCAAAGCCAAGAGTTTTCTCTATGTCTTCCATTTCATAGCAAATGACATAGCCACCCTCCCCTAATTTGATTGAGAACATGAGTAGGATTTCCAGATAAATATATAAGCAAAGACTAGTTGATAATAGAACAAGGCAGCAGGCAGCAACAAAATTGTTGATGAGTTGTGATGCAAGCCAATAAGCAATCAGCTTCACCTATGAAAACATCTCTATAAACAGTCCTAGCGCCAAAAAGAAAAGCATCCGAGTCTGAAGTGAAACAGCCATCCTGAAAGAAGAAAAGAAATAAATAAATAAATAAATAAATAAAGAAGGGGGCAGGTACAATTGATGTGATTAGGACAAGTATCATCATACTTACACAGAGTGACTCTAGATCTAGGGATGCACACTGTGCTTCAGCCTCCTCCAATCTGTTGAAGAAAATAACGGTGAGACCATGTTTAGTTATTTGGAGAATGGAAAGCATGTATGTACCCGTCCAAGCAAGGGATGCCGAGGGCCATGCCGAGACGCTTGGCCTCTTTAATCATGCAGGAGAACTCGGAACCCTTGTTGCGACGCAGTGAAATGGATGGGTGTGAATTGGGCTGATCTGATTCTTTAGCAGCCTAAACAACAGGGGAAGCAAGCAATGTAGTACAAGTAATTAAGCAAAAGGTTGTTTGCAGTGCAGAAGTAGAGAGTGAGTGGCAGAGACATGAGAAATGGATCCGAGGCGACGGCGGTAAGTGGCCAACTTAAGTGAAGGTATAGCCCCATCTGACAAACAAAAAAAATTCAATCTGGCGTCTGAGTGTGAGAAATACTAGAAATGAAAAGTAGAAAAGGAGAATGGGATTACCGGTGACGAAGAGGAGGGTGCAGTTGAGGGCGAGGAGGGCGCGGATGCGGTGGAAGAGGTTCTTGAGGTAGACCTTGTCCTTGGCGAAGGCCGGCGAGCGGTTGGCGCTGTACATCTGGACCAGCCAGCACGACAGGTCCACGCACACCTTCTTGTTCCTTCCTCCACCATTTCATTTCCCAATCCATTAGCAAACCCTCCCCGGAAATTAATTTTAATTTTAATGGCGGATCGATCGATCGATCGGGGACTCACTGGAGGTGGTGGAGCGGGAGCTTCTTCTTGCACGACTCCAGGATGTCCCACAGGTTCTTCACCCCCATCTCCCGCCCGCACTTCCGCCCCTACTTCCGCCGGACCGGACTCGGACGAGACGACGGACCTCAACGGCGGCGGTGACTCCAAACTTCAAATTCCGATTTGCATTTCTCTCTCTCCAAACTCCAAACTCCAATCTCCAAAATGCGCTTTGAGACAAGGGGAAAACGGGGGGAGGGGCCTTTCTTCGAGTGCGCCTCCTTAACCCATAAAATACGCTTTCTAACAATGGTTACGTATAACAAGCCCACGCCGGCCCAACACTCCAGCCGAGTTTTGAGCTGTTGGCTTGTGTCCTAAATTGGCCTTACCAATATTTGGTAATTTCAATAGTGTTAAGTGTTTATTTGGTTTGAAGTCAATTTCTGCCAAACCTAGAAAAATAGGCCATTTTAATAGTTAACTTAGGCTATTTTGGCTTCAATCCAAACAAAACTTTGCATATGCTAAAACTTGCTAAAATTTGGTATTGACAAAAATTGGTAAGGTCAAGTTAGGCCACAAACCAAACCAGCCCTTTATCACAATTCTATTTTTCTAAAATAAAAAATTATACTAATACTAGAAAATTAACTAGTATTAAGCAAGTTTTTTATATGTATAGCATGACTATCCCCATACACCCCTATGTTATAACCATGCATGATGGTACTAAATAGCAGTATCGTGGTTTTTATATTACCATGGTGATGCTGTGCTACTAAAATGGTGGAGGAATATTACGTCTGCTATGTGAAAAATAGTAGGTGTTATTTGGTACATATTATAGAAAATACAATCCTTTTAGGTTAAAAATAATTGTTAAAAATAATTGTTGTTTTGGATAGGTACACGGTGAAAAAAATGCATTAACTCCTAATTTCTGTTAAAGGCTACAATATGAAATGTGATAACTTGATGAGAGGTATGCTCCCGACAATGTGGCAGATGACTTTGGTTTGCGATCTTCTACAATGTATGTAATGTATGTAGAAATATCAATAAATATATGCTTTTACTTAAGTATATTTTAAGATTAATCTGTGTATTATATGGTCTCCATGATTATAAAGACAAATATTTTAGAAGTTATTGGTAGTCAATGTTTTTAAAGTTTGATATTAGTTTTGTCTAAATAGATAATTATTTTCAACATGAAGGAAGAGTACCGCATTTTTTTACTTATCTCCATAACTCATATGTCGTCTATAATATGATATTGTTTCTGTAAATTAAGCACTACTCTACCTCACAAATATGCAGAATTGAGTGGTTTTCTTATTTCGCTATCGGAATATATAACGTTCGCCATATCGCTTGCTATACAATATTCGCAGGAGAATCTGCTATGACCCCACTATCTGCTATTCATGTATCAATGCTTTATGTATTCTACATTGTTTTGATTACAGTGAAATAGCATGGTCACAACACTAGTATACTAATTTAAAAGTAGAGTCATCGTCATCCTTCCCCGCCATCGAAGTCCCCACTAAAAAACCGCCTCATAATAAAACCACCCTACCCAAAACCCAGTATTTCTCAACTACTTTAAACCATACATTTAGTATTTTACCCATTTTACAAAACTTATTTTATAATTAGATCATGGCAAAAACTATATTAGAAAATGAACCAAATTTTAGCGCTAAACTTCTTGGTGCTAAGGGCAAACTTCTCAACACAGGGACCTTTTGAGCTCGCTGGCACTAACATGCATCCACGGATTAAAAAGAATTAACATGCCTTATATAGCATGGAAGTGAACGTGGTGTGATGGTAGCTCTTGCCTTCGGTAGCGCTAGCAACCCTAGTTTGCATCTTAACAGCAGCGACACATTTTTGGCTTTTTTATATTTTTTTTTCTGGTTAGGTACTAGTTTGTGGAAAAAATAAGGGAAATGTTGGATGGTTTGGACCATCAAAAGCACAGAAATCATTGTACCACAACTGAGCTACTCGAAATGATTGGTCATTGGTTTGTCTGTAAACAGACGGCGGATGCTCTACGCCCCAAGACCTCTAGCGCTGAGACGTTGGATCTCGGTGCAAGGCGTTTGGCGCTGAGAAAGAGGGTGCTTAGCGTTTTAGTTAAAGTTCTTGGTACGGCTATTTGCAAAATAAGTTTTAGAAAATGGTCAGAATGTCAAATTTTCACTATTTTAAACTCTTTCTCCATCATCATAGTTCCCCACTTAAGAAACCGCCTCTAAAAACAACCCCACAAAAATAACTAGTACGTATTCATGTGAAAATCAACAAAAATAAACATATAGAAAAAAAACCTATATATAATTCCAATCACATTGCAACGCACGGACACAGACATGACACTAGCTATTTATATTAACATGCATATGTGTCTCGTAGCCATGTTATACATGTTAATTAATTGTTTGGGTTTTCAAATAGAAAACAAAATATTTTGTTGATGACTATTTAAAGTGCTGTTTTTTTCCCAGCTTTAACTTTTGGGGATACATCTCTCTCGATTAGGCTGTCGTTTTCTTTTTGCTTTATTTATTTTTGCACCTCATGCTGATGCTGGTAGCCCAACGAGTAGAATCCTTTTCCATACGTGCAACAAAAAAGAACGCTACTTCTTCTGTTTCACAATGTAAGTCATTCCAGTGTTTTCCACATTCATATTGATGATTCATTAATATAAATATGAATAATATGAATGTAGGAAATGGTAGAATTACTTACAATATAAAACAGAGGGACTATATATGTTGGTTTGTATAAAAAAGCAAGGAAATTAAAGCCAAGGCTGGCCCATATATATACTCCCATATTTCACGGTAAAATTATGATAGTATAATCGGGATATATAACCAGATATACAGTAGACGACAAAAACAATTTGCTATACTTAATCCGTATATAAACATACACAAATGAGACGCAATATATATTATGTATTTTCAGATGTGTACGTACGTACATATATATATAGTATGTACACTCGGCCATATATATATACATGCATGGTATAAGATGCACGATGGAATTGAGGAGTAATAATTAATTAATTACAAAGCCACACACGCGCGCGCACACCCAGCGCGAAGCATATATGGTACGACACTACTACGGGTGTGTAGCTATAGATCGATCGATTATATGTAGAGTAATACTAAATAAATATAATGAAATATATATCATAGACGGTGGATGCACAACTCCAATACCCCTGGCGCTGAGGTCGATTTATGGATGGAATTAAATACGTAATATTTAAAAAAAAAGTCTTCGTTTATTGGGGAAATAATCAATATAGTTGTAATGTTGATGTTGGATCTCGGCGCAAGGTGTTTGGCGCTGAGACAAAGGGCGTTTGTTGTTTTAGTTAAAGTTTTTGCTACGGCTATTTGTAAAATAAGTTTTAGAAAATAGTCAGAATGTCAAATTTTCAGTATTTTAAACTCTTTCTCTATCATCATAGTTTCCCACTTAAAAAACTGTCTCTAAAAACAACCGCACCAAAATAACTAGTACGTATTCATGTGAAAATCAACAAAAAGAAACATATAGAAAAAAAACCTATATTAACATTGTAGAAAAAAATCCCATTGCAACGCACGGACATAACACTAATTAGTTATATTAACATGCATATGTGTCTCATAGTCATGTTATGCAGGTTAATTGTTTGGGTTTTCAAGTAGAAAACAAAATATTTTGTTGATGACTATTTAAAGTGCTGTTTTTTTCCTAGCTTTAACTTTTGGGGATACATCTCTCTCGATTAGGCTGTCGTTTTCTTTTTGCTTTATTTATTTTTGCATCTCGTACTGATGCTGGTATAGTAGCCCAACCAGTAAATCCTTTCCGTGCAACAAAAAAGAACATTATATTATATATGTTGCTTTGTATAAAAAAGCAAGGAAATTAAAGCCAAGGCCCGCCCATATATATACTCCTATATTTCACGGTAAAATTATGATAGTATAATCGCGATATATAACAAGCTATACAGCAGACGGCAAAAACAATTTGCTATATATACGTACACAGATGAGACGCAATATATTATGTATTTTACAGATGAGTACGTAAGTGTGTATCCATACATACATACATACATACATACATACATACATACATACATACATACATAGTATTTACACTCGGCCAGATATATATATACATGCATGGTAATTAAAGATGCACGATGGAATTGAGGAATAATAATAATTAATTAATTACACAAAGCCACATGACACGTGCGCGCGCGCACACACTCAGCGCGATGCATGTATATATGGTACGACACTGCGTACTACGGGTGTGTAGCTAGATCGATCGATTATATGTAGAGTAATAATAAAGAAAAGATGATGAAATATATGTATAATAAAATGGAATTACATGGCGGTGTATTTAGTGGAGTCGACGTTGGCGGTGGCGAGGACGACGGCGACGCCGAGGAGGAGGACCACCAGCGCCGTGAAGTTGACGAGTAGCGCCTCCGCCCCGTACCTGGACAGGCGCAGCGGCGGGGCCTGCAGGAAGGTGAGCTTCTCGAGGAAGCCGAGCTGGGCGTTGCCCACGGCGAGCGCGAAGACGAGGAGGCCGAGGAGCGCGTGCCACGGGACGGCGGAGCGCCTGGTGTCGTGGGAGGCGCCGGGGAAGAAGAAGGTGAGGAAGGCGAGGAGCCAGTGGAGCGCGTAGAGGGAGATGGTGGCGATGCCGATCCAGGAGTGGAGGGAGTAGAGGTTGGGGATGTCGGCCTCGGCGTGGTACTTGAACACCGCGTAGATGCCGACGCCGCCGAGGGCGAGCCCCACGGCGTGCAGCCCCAGGTGCACCTTCTTTCTGGCGTCCCTGCTGCTGACGATGATGGAGAGGGAGCGGTAGGAGAGGATGGCCTCGGCGGCGAGGACGACGAGGCCAAGCACCATGAGCACCGGGTGGGTGTTGAAGATGAGCTGCTTGTTGTGGGAGCGCAGGGCGAGTCCGCCGCGGAAGTGAACGCACCACACCAACACCATCGCCGTCGCCGCCACCGCTAGCACGTGCGCCACCACCACCATGCACCCGCCTCCGCCATCGCCGCCCTTGATCACCGCCTTCATCGCCATCGATCGATTGTTTGAGCTAGCTCATGCACTTGAGTAGCTAGTGCGTAGCACCCCAACTCAACTGCAAGAAAGAAAGAAAAGAAAAGAAAGCACTAGTTTAGTTTAGTTAGTTGGGTGGCGGTTACAATTACGTGGACGCCCTGCCGCCGCGCGCGCAGATGCCGCAGCCGCAGCCACAGCTAGCCAGCCAAGCCATCCACATCAACTCGATATATCATATCACCCGCTCCCCCCCGGCCATCTCTTGACAATGATTTTTCCCCCCCTAGAGCCCTCGAGCGGATATATGTCCTCGATCGATCATCTCCAGTCATTTCTTACTAAAGTTACTACTATCTCCGTTTCAAAATATTTAACATTATTAACTTTTTAAGTACGTGTTTAACCATTCGTCTTATTCAAAAAATTTAAGTAATTATTTATTCTTTTCATATCATTTGATCCATTGTTAAATATACTTTCATGTACACATATAGTTTTACATATTTCACAAAATTTTTTGAATAAGACGAACGGTCAAATATGTGCTAAAAAGTCAACGGTGTCAAATATTTTGAAACGGAGGGAGTATGTAAATATTGTTTTTTCTCTCACTATATATTTAATAAAATTGACACAACAATACGATATGTTCATTCTTTTTTAAGTTACAATTTTTTTACTACTTCCAATTTCTATCTGTATAAACTATAAGAAAAAAAAGAATATATAGGTGGTGTTTGAATATTCTGAAGATGAAGATGAAGATAAATATTAAATATTTCACGCAAAACGAGGTTGTAATAACGTGTGATTAATTGAGTTTTAATTATTCCAAACTTGAAAAATAGATTAATCTGATATTTTAGAACAACTTTCATATATAAAGTTTTCACACGAAACACACCATTTAGCAGTTTGAAAAGCGTGCCACAAGTATCCAAAATTTAATCCAACTTTTGTTGGAGAAAAAAACAGAGCCTATATATTAAACTCTAACTTAGGAATATTCCTTGTTAGGGATTACTCATCTCACCGTTTCTCAAACAAAACAGACTGAAAAATAAGTTTGACCCAAACCAATCCACACCCTATTATATCCTTTGAACCAAATGAACGCTAATCGAATTGTGATACATCTATATGAGGTATCTATCTAGATTCCCTGAATAGGAAGGCAACCATACGTTGGTGTGGCTGTGGCTATCTGCATGCACCGCATCCTCGCCACGCTAGCTCTACTTATAACTAAACATAGATTGCATGCTACTCCCTCCGTTTTTTAATAGATGACGCCGTATGACCATTTGTCTTATTCAAAAAATTTACATAATTATAATTTATTTTGTTATGAGTTGTTTTATCACTCATAGTACTTTAAGTGTGATTATATCTTATACATTTGCATAAAATTTTTTGAATAAGACGAATTGTCAAACATATAAGAAAAAGTCAACGGTGTTATCTATTAAAAAACGGAGGGAGTATATATGCAGCAAATTAAAATTTCGATTTATTTGCCTAGAAATAAAAACGAAATAAAATTGTATTTTATATGTATAATCAAGATGCTTGATAATAATTTATTGTAATAGTCTACATATATCATGTGGAGTAGTAATTAGTTACTTATCAAATTAGTTGCACTTTATAGAGACTGTGTTAATTGACTAGCTAGCTATAGTGTACACTGTCTAAAAAAAATACTACTCTTAATTAATACTTGGCCAATTAAGCTATTGCACACAAAGCAACAATTATACTGTCAATGTTGATTTTCAACACGTACCTTTCAATTAATTCGTGGTATAGCGACATATATAGTCCCTCGCTCGATCAATCAATTGGATCGATTGGACTAGCTTTTGCTTTGCTTTTCTTTGTTTGCTTCATCGTATATATGTAGGCATGACGGGAGGGTTAAGTGCACAAGACGTGTCCATTCTCTAAGCTTTCGTCGCGAAATAAGTTCACTGCTCAGTCCGTCCCAAGATATAATAGATTTGGATGAAAGGGACGCATCCTAATATTACGAATCCCTTCGTAGTATTAGAATACGTCTCATCTAATCAAAATTACTTAAATTTTAGGACAGAGGGAGTAGCTTAGATGTTTCTTTTTTCCTTTTGAAACCGTCAGCTAGCAAGAGATCTGCTGGAATATATTGCTCTGTTAAAATGTATGCATGTATGGAGTGGAGAGAGAAGAGAGATCAGAGTAGCGGTAGCAGTGGCGGAGCTAGGATAAAATTATAGTGGAGGCTCTTTAGCCTTTTGGGCCTTCTAACAATTTCAGACAAAGTCTATTTTAGTCCCCTTGCAATAAATATATGGATTTAAATTGTAGGGGTATTAATGGGGGCCCTAATGATTCATTAGGGGGTGGGGGGGGGGTCTAAAGACCCCCCAGCCCCCACGCTGCCTCCGTCACTGAGCGGTAGGTAGTTGTGTGAATTTTGTAAAACATGATAAAACACATATTGAAACATGTCGCTATAGCATATGAAACATTAAGTTTTAATGGTTTGAAACGTATGTTTTTATTTTATCGGAATATAAAGATTTAATTATAATAAATACAATGATATAAATTGGAGCAATAGATTAGATAAATAGTTTGGGAGAAAAATCCATTCAAAGTTAAATGTACGTGCATGAAAAGATGACAGAGCATATATGTGCTTATGTGTGATTGGGCCACAAATTTTGACAATTTAGCGCTGAAAAAATGTCATTTTTTAAATAAGTTTTGATGACGATTTATTTGTAAAATTAGTTTTTGCAAAGTATCAAGTTGTCAAAAATTTGTGTGATCGGGTGACCTATTAGAATCATTTTCGATAAATTGTCAACTTCTTCGATGATCAGTTGCTTATTATATTTATGTAGTACGTACACATGTAGGCATAGATAATTAGTTAATTACTGTAGTTTGTTAGTTATATGGAGTATACTTATAGAGATGAGATGAGACGAGTAGCTAGTTAGGTAGCTGGATGCACAAATTTTAACAATTTATCCCTTTGAAAAAGCTAATTTTACAAATGAACCGTCGCAAAAACTTATTTAAAAAATGACCTTTTTTTCAGCCTCAAATCATGTAGCGCTGAACATAGACACTTCAACGCCACGTCAATTGACGCTGAATGCCGTGCTACCACGGATGAAAGGCTAAGTCAGCGTGCCAATGAACATTTAGCGCCATACTATTTAGTGTTGAGGTGTCTAAATTCAGCGCCACATGATTTGGCGTTGAACAAATGGGTCGGTTTTAAAATAAGTTTTGGCGGTAGTTCATTTGTAAAAATAGTTTTTTTTAAAAGATCAAGTTGTCAAAATTTGAGGGAGCTGGATGCATGAACGGGATCGGCACATGTAGTAGTACGTGGGAGTACTTGGCTAGCTAGATAGCACAGTACGTACGCAACGTGTTTCGAACGTAACATCCGTACCTTTTGCCGTTTGCGCGAAACCAATACATAATTAAGATAATACAGTTAATAAACCCACATAAATAAGCTAGCAAGCCAGATCATATAGATGGACAAACTTAAATAAGCCCGTTGGTTATTTATATATTACTCCCTCCATATTTTAATGCATGACGCCGTTGACTTTTTAAACAACGTTTGACCATTCATGTTATTCAATTTTTTTGTAAATATAAAATATTTATGTTATGCTTAAAGAATATTTGATGATAAATCAAGTCACAATAAAATAAATGATAATTATATAAATTTTTTAAATAAGATAAATGGTTAAACGTTGGTTAAAAAGTTAATGGCGTCATACATTAAAATATGGACAATGTATTTGGGTGTGTTCGCAATTTCTTGTTACCAACCAAAACAGTACGCATGAAAAACGGAACGGTCTATTTACGCGTGATTAATTAAGTATTATCTATTTTTTAAAAATAAATTAATTTGATTTTTTAAGCAACTTTTATATAGAAACTTTTTAGAAAACATATATTTTAACAGCTTAAAAAAGCGTGTGCACGGAAAACGAAGGAAATGGTTGGGAAAAGGGTGCTGAACACAGCCGTGACATATGCGTAACCTTGCCGATCGGTCGAGTGGATAATTATATTATTAAGCACATGAGCTAATTTGACCCTGCAGTCAAATTGATTGCCAGGCCGTCGAGCCAAATCAACCTTCCTACATATATACAGTACTGCATGGCGGCTTTGGTTTAGAAAAAAAAGAATAAAATAAAACCACGTACTGTATATCATGAACACCAGCAGCTCATCCTCGTAGAATGTAGTTATATTATAATTGATATAATTATAATATAATTATATTATAATTTATTGTAATTAGGATGTAACTTATAGATAACTTGTATATAACTTATCGAAACTCACGTGTGGACATTGTGCCTAGCGCCACAAGCTAAGCTTGCAACCCACTTTTCCTTGCAGGCCGCACAAATTGATTGTCGTGGCAATCCTCCGATGTTAACAAATTCTAAAGTTTTGAGGGTATTATTTTTCCTTGCATGCCACACAAATCTCAAGGCAATCTGACGATGACATATATGTATTTAAAAGTTTTACGACAGAAACTGTCAAACGCTTTTTAGCAATTCCATTTATATTTCGATCGTACGTGTGTAAGTTTAGCGTAGAATTATGTATGGATTGTGTAAGTCAATGGTTTTGTATCGGAACCTGTGAACTAAATTAAGTATCAAACAAATTATATTTGAGATTTGTTATTAAAAAAAATATTCACTGCATATTGGTGCAACTATATGCTACCATGATGGACTTGGATTTTGACTGAGATATCAATAACTAATAGTTGCGCAAGCTTAATTAGTTGAGTGTTATATATAAGTAAACAATTCGCCAATTTAATTTCCCCTTATTTATATATTTTTCTAAAGATAATGGATAAACCGGGCGGCCACTGTGTCAAAATTAAAATTTCCCTTCTCTTGTATTGTAATACTAATATTGGATTACTGCTTCACATATATAGTACATGTACATATATAGTATTGTTGAAAAAGATTGGGGAAAAAATAGGATTTGGTTTTGTCTAAGGGTTAGGAAACATCCTCCTTATGGCCAGCCGGTCAATCCATCGATAAAAGGGGAATGGAATAATTAATTGAAGAAAGAAAAAAGGAAATCGATCATCAGAAGGTAATTTGTCTAGTACTCCTAATTGGTACATCGACGATCTGCGCAGGCGACGACGACGTACGACTGACTTTATTACTGAGACTGGAGACTTGTCTATATATACCGCGCAAGCTATAGCTGACTCGCTCCTAGCTACTCCACATATAAACATATAAATAAACAGAGCTAATTAAGCTAGCTCCCTCCTGATTATATATATTGATGGATGGCAAGAGAAGAGACGAGATAGATAGCTAGATGTAGCTTAATTAGCTAGCTAGCCGCTCAAGTCATATATATATATATATATGCTAGCTAGAGGGAAGACGAAGGAGTTAGCTAGCTAGGAGAGGGCGAGAGATGAGCAGCAGCTAGAAGCAGCTGATCTATCTATCTATCTATCTATCTATCTATCTATCTATCTATGTAGAGCTCACTCATGTATGCATATATACTTGGATCTCCTCTCCTCTCCGGTCATCTCATATATACGTATCTATATCGATATAGATCGCCTGCCGGTTTATAGTTAGATATGCATGTATCGATCGGGATACTATTACTAATATATAGTTAGTTAAACCAAATTAAGATCGATCAAATACAATATATCGATCGATCATGAGGGGAAGTAGCAATAATCACAAGTCGAAGTCGGAGGAGGAAGGCGTGGCCTTGGTGCAGGTAGCGGAAGAGGGCGAGACGACGACGAAGCAGCAGCAGCAGCCGGACTCAAATAAGGCGGCGGCGGAGGAGGAGGAGGAGGAGGCCGGCTACGGCTACAGCAATTGGTGGTCAACGTGGGTGTCGTCGGCGGTGAAGAAGCGAGTGCGGGCGCCGGGTCGCGTGGGTATCGTCGTCGTCGTCGGCGGATTCGTCCTGCTGGCCTTGCTCGCCGCCGTCGCCGCCACCACCACCACCACCTGGCCGCAACTCGTCGATTTCACCGGCGCCGTTGTAAGTCAAGTCCCTCGCTCAATTATCATTTCTTTCTTCAATATATCAATTCGATCGTGCATGCATATACCTTATATAATTCATTCATTCAACTCCGATGCGATCGATCCACTTGTTTTTTTTTACCGCTAGCAGCTAGCGACGATGCACGTACGACGCACGACCACAGGCCCAGGAGTTATATTTATTTATTAGTTGATGAATTGAAATTAGTATATACGAAACTTTAATTTGTCGCTCAAATCAGCCTCAATTAAAATTTCAACATATATTGGGGTTAACAAATTTATTTTGGTGGAGTTTTTTCTTCTGAGAGAAAGAACTTTCCAAATTATATTATATAAGGTATGTAATAATTAATTGTGATCAAGATTATATTTAGTTTTTTTACTCTACCAAAATTTAGTAACGATGAAATTTGGTAAAGTTGTGAACACATGCCGACCGGCCGGCCATAATTTCCAAGTTTGACGTCAAACACCGTACCCAATACAATCTAGCTAGTTTTATTTGGTTTAGCACCTGGATTACTAGCTAATTACTAGTGGTAACTAACTTACAGCATGCTCATGCTGTCACGCATTGAATGTTGACTAGCTTAATTCTTCTTTCCACCAACAAATGACCACATCATATATAGCTAGCTACAGATCCACGGAAACTAGCTAGCGCTGCTTGTTAGTGCGCATTTCCATTTTCCACCCTCTATATTAATTTACACATGTATACACCTGAATCAACACGCTTCGATCAATGGATATGCATCTTAAATTAATTAATTTCACCCAAATTGTATTTTGTATGCATATATATATGCATGCATATATAGTTGGGCTTATAACTGTACTTGTAGACGACTGACAGATCAATTAATATAATATAGATAGCTAGATGGATATATAGATCCAATAGAAAGCAAGCAAAGCCATGCAAGCAGTATGGTCCGTGTTCACGACGAAAGTGCTTGATCACGAGATACACGGCACTGTAGCTAGTTTGTTAAGCTAAGCTGGAGTAGTTGATTAACTCCTGGGGATATTAAGCTTAGTAGTACTCGCTCCATGTCCAACACCGTTGATTTTTTAAACAATGTTTGACATTTATCTTATTCAATTTTTTTTACAAATATAAAAATACCATGCTTAAAGAATAAATCAAGTCACAATAAAATTAATGATAATTACATAATTTTTTTAAATAAATTGAATGGTTAAACGCTGATAAAAGATTAATTGTATTATATATTAAAATACGGAGGGAGTATATATTAATCCTATCAAAAGACTACTGCATCAGATATATTTATAACGAGTGAAAAAACACTACTAGTACATATAATTATGTTACTATTACTAGTGGTTCTATGGTTCTGCGGCGCGCGCCTTGGTTTTTCACAAGGAAAGTAAACCAGATGATCATGCATCACAACGCACTATAAATCGCCAAAAACAGTAGTAGTACATAAATGCATGCATGTAGTTTACTTAATTTTGAACACACATATTTATTGATTAAAAATAGTACTCCAATTGTAGGACGTCCTATTTTTAAGAAAAATTAAACTCGGTAACTTTTAACTAATAATCTAACTATGTACTACATATACTAATTATTATGCACGTTATATCACTAGATTCATATTTTAAAGTACTTTCTTGTGATGCTAGTTGCATGTTTGTTGAAAACATAGATTGAAATAAATTAATGGTCAAAGTATGTTATTAAAGAGCGTGTAAAAAAATATAGGCATTATAATTTAAGACGGAGCTAGGAGTATATGTTTCCATTAGAGATACAAAATTAAAAGGAGACACTTCATTACTTATGACAAATTAACCCCTCATTAGTTAGAATTTATAGTGAAATTAAGATTAAGGGTAGTATAATAATTACGTAATGCGCGTATATGGTTGGTTGTTTTTAGCCTAAGTATATATATACGTGTATGAATGATATAAGTTCTTCGAGGCTAGCTGTTGAGTTGAGTCAACTGCGTACGTTGTAAGTACATAGAATATATAAGGATGCATGACGTTACTACTCACCGCTGTACGATCTCAGGTTGGAATAATTCATTTACTAACAAAACCGCGCGTTGAAATTAAGCGCCACAACATGTGGAAAAACTTGTTCGACTTTTAATTTGGCTCGCAGACTTTGAGCGATCGAAGAACTAGATAGCTAAGCGAGCTAGTGAGTACGTGTCCAATCCATCACAATCGATGATGGTTGAATAAACATACATTAGGCCATTATCATCTTGACCTAAAGTGATTTTAATTTAACAATATTTGAAGCTGTGCGCTTCCGATGGAGATCGACAAACAACGGCTTCCATACGGCAACTTAATAAATTTGATGGAGATGTATAGCTGTACCTGTTGCTCGTCGATTCGTCGTCTTGGTCGTGCATGCATCAATGGAATTACAACCACTCTTCCTTACAACTAGCTAGTCTTGGTCGCCCGTCATGCTTAATTTGCATCAATGGAATTACAACTAGACTTTACTACTATTAATTAATTCCTCACTAATTAAGTAATAAATAGTAGTACTGGTTATTTTACCTAATCATCTATACTTAGCTAGTATCTGACCGATTATATATTAGTTAATTAATAAATTTAATCATTTTCTGTACTGTACATGCATGATGGATGGATGGAGCAGTCGTCGTTCCTGCAGTTTGGCAATGGTGACGGTGCACGGCGCCACAGGCCTCACCGCACTAGTCTCGTTTCCATTCCAATTCCATTCACCTGCGGCAGCGGCAATGACACGGGCACATGCCCCCGCTATGCGGCGTCAGCTCCGGCGCCGGCGCCTGCATCGATGTCGCCGCCGCCACCACAGACGTCGACGGTGGATTACTGTCCGTCCTACTTCCGGCACATAGAGCTGGACCTGGCGGCGTGGTTGGCGTCAGGCATCAGTCGGGAGGCGGTGGAGCGGGGGCGGCGGCAGGCGCACTTCCGGCTGCTGGTGGTGGGGGGCCGCGCCTACGTGGAGACGTACCGGCGTGCGTTCCAGACGCGCGACGTGTTCACGCAGTGGGGCATCCTCCAGCTGCTCCGCCGCTACCCGGGGCGCGTCCCCGACCTGGACCTCATGTTCAACTGCGACGACATGCCCGAGGTGCGCGCCGCCGCCTACCCCGACCGGGCCGCCGCGCCGCCCCTCTTCCGCTACTGCAAGGACCCCTCCACCCTGGACGTGCTCTTCCCGGACTGGTCCTTCTGGGGATGGCCGGAGGTGAACATCCGGCCATGGGCGCCGCTGCTCGCGGAGATGGCGGAGGAGAAGGCGCGGCTGCCGTGGAGCCGAAGGGAGCCCTACGCCTACTGGAAGGGCAACCCGGACGTGTCGCCGCTGCGGCAGGAGCTCCTCCGCTGCAACCACTCCCTCCCCCCCGACGACACGGTCAGGTTGTACCGCCAGGACTGGGGCTTCGCCAACCGCAACGCCTTCCGCGACTCCAACCTGGCCCGCCAGTGTCGCCACCGCTACAAGCTGTACGTGCAGGGCCGCTCCTGGTCCGTCAGCCGCAAGTACATCCTCGCCTGCGACTCGCCCGTCCTCGCCGTCGCCACGCCCTACCAGGACTTCTTCTCCCGAGGCCTCGCCGCCGGCAAGCACTACTGGCCCATCGACCCCTCCCGCTCCAAGCTGTGCCGCGACATCCGCTTCGCCGTGCGATGGGGCAACGCCCACCCGGCGCAGGCGCAGCGCATGGGCCTCGCCGGCAGCGCCTTCGCCACGGACGACATGGCCATGGACTACGTCTACGACTACATGCTGCACGTGCTCACGCGCTACGCCTCGCTGCTCCGCTACAAGCCCACCGTGCCGGACCGCGCCGTGGAGCTGTGCCCGGAGTCCATGGCGTGCCCCCGCCGAGGCCGCGACCGCGACTTCATGATGCAGTCCAGGGAGCAGTACGTGGCCGACTACCAGCCCTGCACCATTCCACCGCCGCCGCTCACCGCCGATGACGCCACCAACATGGCCCACAGGGATGCCGAGGTGCTCAGCAACATCGACAAGATGATCATAACGGAGGACAAGCACAATTAACCAATAATAACATATTTCTTAATTATGTGCTTGCTGCTGTAATTGTTTCCTTCATTTCATAAATAAATATGATATATTACCACGTGCTGTTACTGTACTAGTGTTGATTTAGCATGACAAATTGAATATCCATTCTCAGTTATTGTATCATGTAGGCGCGCACACTTAATTAAACAGAGGAGAACAAATTAAAGCGGAGTACAATAGCTAGCTAGTTTGCCAATAAAGCAGAGTACGAGATCTGGCTAGCTCCTTTGCACATTCGCAACTATATTTTTTATTTTTCTTACAGCTTGTACAAATTAAATTTAAACTTGTATATTTGTGAAGTGATATATTTCATATTAATCTATATTACTAATTTTTTTTCATATTTTTAATTGATTATTTAGATGGCATATACAAAACGAGTGTATATCTTCTCGAGAGATGAAATCATTTTCCCGGTGTTGGCTAAGACTTTTCTGTACCGTTGTGCTTGCACATGAATTGGATGGTTTTGCCTGATGATGAGCTGGGGGTTTGTCTTGTGCCACTGGTATGAGTGCTGTTGGGTGCCGTTTCCTTAAATAAAGCGAATGTCATGTAATATTCCGAAGAGAATATACAAATATGGTTTATGAGTAATGTCGTTATCCCGATAAATCAATTTTTGGAAGAAAGGGAAATTAAATCTGCCCAAAGTGAAGTGTTGAATTACTACATGGAGTGTGATGAAATGATTAATTTGTAGCTCCCGGGGATCAGCTGGCGTGACGGATTTTATTGATGTTCAGGTAATGGGTTGGAGTGCCGTCTCTGAATCTCTGATAGTTTGAGAATGCTGAAGAAATACAATACAGAACTGAAACTTGGGACTTGGGAGGACATTTTTGGGTAACGTCGGAGAAGTCTATAATTAGTGCAGGGAGTTGGTAGTACATTACATTGATCGATCAGGTAGAAAGCAAAATGGTGCAGCATGCATGATGGATTGCAAATGGCAGAGTGAGTGAGTGAGTGAGCAGTTAGAAAGAAAGGAGGCACAAACAGGCAGCTAATGCAATGAAACAACTGCTCCAATGTATAGTGGATTGAATGTAATGGAGCTAGCAAACTTCATCCGCAACAGCAACTCTCAACTTCTTTTCTTCACTCACATATATGAATTGAAACTCATCATTTAGGCTGAGTCCTTACATATATATACAACCAGCAAAGATCTCAGGTCAATGATAATATTTGATTATTAAGCAGTTAGTAGTATGATTTGATGACCCAAACAACTACTACAACTCCTCTGCAAATAGAGTAATATGTATATATAGCAGAGGGCACTCTATATATACCTTCATACATAGGGGGATAGATTGCCAACACCAAGATAATATAGATCGATCAAATAGTAGCAGTAGTAAATTAAGAAAGCAGAAGAGATTATTGATTAAGCAGGCAGCATGAGCGGGAGCGACACCTCGGGCAGCGTCCACGTCGACGAGCACGGGCACGGGCACGGCAAGGCTTCATCGTCATACGACGGTGCTGGTGCCCCGGCGCCGGCGCCGGCGCCTTTCCAGGGGCATCGCAAGGCTGGCAGTGGTAGCAGCGACGTGCCGTTCCTGCTGCGCAGCGGCGGCAGCGGTGGCGACGGCCTCCGGCGGTGCTTGGGTCTGATAGACTTTGTGCTGAGGGTGGCTGCCTTCGGCCCCACGCTGGCCGCCGCCATCTCCATCGGCACCTCCGACGAGAGGCTCTCCGTCTTCACCAACTACTTCCAGTTCCGCGCCAGATTCGACGACTTCCCGGCTTTCGAGTAATCATCATATATATTTGAGCTACTAAGCTTATTACTATTATTCTGTAATAAATCAATCAATGAAATGAAAAAATATATATGCAGGTTCTTCATTGTGGCGAATGCGATCGCGGCGGGGTACATGGTACTGTCGCTGCCCTTCTCCGCCGCCACCATCATGAGCTCCAAGGCCACCGGTGTCAAGCTTCTGCTGCTCATCTGCGACACCATCATGGTGGGTTTACTGACGGCGGCAGCGTCTGCGGCGGCGGCGATGGTGTACGTGGCGCACGAGGGCAACCTGCGCGCCAACTGGGTGCCCATATGCTTGCAATTCCACGGCTTCTGCCAGCGCACCAGCGGCGCCGTCATCGCCTCCTTCCTCGCCGTCTTCGTCCTCATGGTCCTCATCGTCATGGCCGCCTTCACCATGCCCCGCCGCACCCACCACACCGCCTCATAATACATCATATTCTAGCTTCTTCATCCGCGCGATCCAATGACGAGCTCCAGCAAGCAGAGCAAAAGCGTCAAGTTTGATTTGATTTGGTGGTTTGATTGCATTTCTCTGTTCCCTCCGGTATGTGCTGCATGTGTCCTGTTTTAGTTCCTTCCTTGTGTGCATTATACTATATATGTGTATGTATTCTTCTGCAATGTGCAACAAGCTAAGCAAGCAGAAAATTCTTGTTTTTTTTTCTTTTCTTCAAGAGAGAGAGAGAGAGAGAGGTAAAACAAGAATGAAGTGTAATTAGCAAGTGTGATGAATGGAATGGATTACTGGTTGCAATCAGCTGCAACTACATATGTATTTGATGAGTTGATTTCACTCTGCATGTGTGTGTGTGTGTCTAGACAATAATAATCAGCTTGAATATACATACATACACATGCAAATTAATATGCAATCCAATATGTGTTTTGGATATATTGATCGGAGAAGAAGAAGATAGAAAAGGAGCTAGGAGGAGGTGTTTTGTATTTGTTGCCTTGAGCGGTAGAAGGCCATGCCCCTGATGGCGTCGGGGTCCATGGCGAAGCCGAGGAGGCGGTAGAATCCCACGACGCGGGGCTCGGCGTAGAGCGCGATGTTGGAGACGCCCTTGCCTCGCAGGTCGGCGACGAGGCGCTCCATGACGGCGCGGCCGAGGCCGAGGCCCTGGCACGACGGCTCCACCACCACGTCCCAGACCACCGCGTTGAACACGCCGTCCCCCGCCGCGCGCGCGAACGCCACCGGCCGCCCCGCCGACGACGACGCCGAGTCCTCCAGCCACACCACCTCGCTGTGCTCCAGCGCTCGCCGCAGCCGCTCCTCCTGCCGCCGCGGGAACCCCACCCGCGCGAACACCTCGTTCAGCGCCCCCACGTCCAGCCCCGTCGAGCTGCGCCGCACCGCGAACCCGCGCGCCGCAAGCTCAGAGTCCGACACCGACACCGCACACGCACACGCACACGCACTCCTGTTGGAGTTGTTGTTGAAGCTCAAGGTGGGCAGTGGAAACGGCCGAATGCCACCGCGAGGACGGACACCAACGCGGGGCCGCGCCGCCTGCATCTGCATCTGCCTCTACCTCTGCATCTGCATGACAATGTTCTGTGGTGCACACAACACACCTCCTTAATTCAGATCACCGGACCCATTGGGCTGGGTGTGCGTTACAACTATTTTGGGTGGCCATGGATGGCTTGCTTATCCTCTTGTTTTTCAACAAACAAACAAACACTCTTTCTTCTTTTTATGCATGTATGTATGGATGGATGGCATGCTCATCCCTCTCTAATCCTAATCTAATCTCTAGTGCTCTTTTACTGGCCTACATATTGTTTACCAATGATCAATGAATTTGTATTTTCAACCTTCCAATGCTTTGCTTCTTTTTTTAAACTGAATGACATTTTCCTTGAGCATACTCTATATTATATACATCATCGGTAATAAAAAATATTTTCACCACAGAACAACTCAACATTTACAAGGTATTTGGTTGCTAGCCACATTTTACCATAATTTGCCACCTCCAAGATTAGGCATGTTTGATCACGTTAATAGCTGTTTGATTTGTAACCACATTGTGGCAAGGGTCTTTTATAACAAATTAGGTCCCACGCATCATTGGCTCATAAAAATGTAGCAAGATTCTCTTAGGCGCCTCAACTTTGGCAAGTGTAACAACATTTATTGGCAAATGGTGACAAAGTGTGGCTAGAACAAAACTGACCCAGTGTCTTGGATAAACTGAAACCCAACCAAACAGCTCAGATCGATTCAACCAAAACTTGAGGAGGATAGTGCGGAGCGCTGTGAAAAATTGCACCGTGGTGATGACCGATGAACTGGGTTCCGGTAGCTCCAATTTGGACCAAAAGACACCCCATCCGTTTTCATAGTAAGTGTAGTCCCTACTGCAAATTTATTCTCAATTGGGTTTCAAAATGGTGGAGTAATATAATATCCTCTTGTTGGATAGTATATAAGAAGATTTTGGGCCTAATATTTTGGACGAGTATTAATTGGAAACAATCGAAGATCATCGGTATTAATTGGAAGGAAATATTAATCGGAAACGGGATCGGTAGGAAGATTGTTGATGCCTCAACTGCAAATACCGTATTGAGCAAACCTTGCCAACAATAGCTTACTTCACTGCACGTCATATTTTACCATCTCACACCTTACCAAGGGAAACAAACACCCAGCAATACAATGGTAAAATTGCTACAGATCAAACATCTTGCACATATATATTACACAAGTACGTACGGTAATATATATGCAACTGAAGGCATGGGGGGTTTGACGACCAACAGCAGCAAGTTATTATTGTGTGTAAGCATATGAAAACATGCACTTTTGCCTTCCGCATATTTATTTATAAAGACATTGTTTTCCACTGGGAAAGTAAAGTCGTGATGCGAGAATTACATCGTGCTTCTTTACCCGTCTCACACACACTGACAGGCAGGGGCGGGCCCACTTCAATTCAAGGGTATTCAGATGAATACCCAAGATTTTTGACAAAAGAATATGTATATATAGTATGTACTATGTATATGTGTATGAAGAAAATGAAAAAAATGCCATATTCAGTTCATCTTCTTCACTGCTTGGGCCTGCCTGCCTCCTCCCTGCTTTCCTGGCCCAATTCACTAGCCTAAACAAGGAATAAGTTCATCCAAGGTCCCTTAACTTGTCAACGAATCCAATTTTCATCCCTTAACCACAAAACCAGATACAACGGGTCCCTCAACTATCAAAACCGGTGCAATATAGGTCCCATGGCGGTTTGGAAGGCGGTTTTGGCTTACGTGGCACCTACGTGTCTAAATTGACCTATTTTCATCTGACGTGGCATAGATGTGGCATTGACGTGGCAATTTGATTTGGAAATTAATAAAAAGAGTGACCCCACATGTCAGCTATGAAGGTGCACTTAAACCCCCTAGTGGGTTTTGGTGATTAATGACAAGGTGGTTAAAGAGGACTAACGTGTTTATCAAGTTTATTAACATGAGTTTAGTCTCAAAGCAAGTTGTGATGGCTAAGAATGCAAGGAGGCCCCCCAATTTGAATGTTCCTAAGTGCGAAAAACACTGAAGGTGATTAGACTAGGTCTTTCACTTTCGAAATTGAGTTTAGGAAAAACCGTACTATAAAGAGGGGTTTCAAGTGTGGTTCTAGGGTATTCAAAGTGCTCTGAGTCATATCCATGAGTCTAAAGGTTTTTGGAATCATTTTTTTGGAAATGTTTTTCCCCGGGACAGAGAGGCCTACCCGGAGGTTCTGGCCGGAACCTCCGAACACCAAAGTTTACTTTCTCCCCGGGACAGAGAGGGCTACCCGGAGGTTCTGGCCGGAACTTCCGGGCACCGAAGTTTAGCTAGATTTTTCCTAAGTGCTGCCCGGAAGTTCCTGGCACTTTTGCCCGGAACCTCCTGGCAGGTTTCCAGTTCAAACTTGTGAGTAACGGCTAGATGACGTCACCTAGCCGTTATATATATGGATTTCGTCCCCAGGTCACCCTTTGGCCATTCCACTTCAGCTCTTTCATGTTCTAGGGTTTTCTAGCCACTCCCAAGCTTCCTTTGCTTCCTCCACTCAAATCTAGAGCCTATCTTGTGAGATTGAGAGATTAGATTAGAGTGTAGGAGTGTTTTGGAGATAGATTGAAGATTAGGTTCGTTTGAGCACTTTGGATACCTTGTGGGCTGTCACTTGGGCTTATTACTCTTGGAGATCTTCTCCTAGACGGTTAGGTGTCGCCCGTGAGTTTCCAAAGATCTTGTAGATGTCCCGGGAAAGTTTGTGAAGGTTTTCCTCACCTCCGCAAGGAAACGAGGTAAGTGAGTAAAGATTCTTGTGCTGAGTTTTCAGAGGTTGTCCTAGGTAGAGCAACTTGCACTTGTGGTCTTTTCTAGAAGGAATTGTGAGTTGGATCTTGGTGGTCACTCAATTCTAGAAAATGACCTAGAAGTGTTAAGTTGAAGGCTGTGGACTTCTTCTGGGATCTTTGCATAAGTGAGGCAAGGGGTTAATCGAGACCCGGCTCTTTGAGCACCTCAACTGAGAGTAGGATCCGTGTGATCCGAACTTCGGGAAAAAATCGCCTTTGTCTCACTTGTGCATGATCTGTGTTTGAATCTGCTGGTATCTTGTGATTTACATCTTGTGCTACCTTGTGCCTGATTGTCTCTAGCTAGGACCTGTTTTATGTCCCCGATTTCAATTTTCTCTGTTGCCCGGAAGTTCCTGGCCCAAGAACTCCGGAAGTTCCGGGCTGCTCATCACTGCCAGGAAGTTCCGGTGTTCTTCACCAGGAGGTTCCGGGCCCTATTAATTTAACCGCTGCGATTGTTGAGAAAATTTCAGGAAAGCCTATTCACCCCCCTCTAGGCTACATCTCTACGCGTTCAAGCTACACCAAAAGAATTAATTAAAAATGGTGTGGTCCACATGGGCCCCACTTGTCATTCACTCTCCTCATCTTCTTCCTCCTCTCTCCCCATCTCCCCTCTCCTCTCTCCAGGAGCTGGCGGTTCGGCGACGCGGCCGGCCGGCTGGCGGCGACGGAGCCAGGGATGACCTCGGAGACGAGGACGCCGGGGAGCTGCGCCTGGACAGGGATGCCGACGGTGAGCGCCTGGGTGTAGACGATGAGGAAGGCGAAGAGGAGGTTGGCGGCGACGCCGGCGGAGACGACGAGGAGCCGGTCGGGGACGGGGCGGTTGCGCAAGAGGTCCGGGTCGTCGGGCGAGAAGCCGGAGTCCGGTTCGTCGTCGGGGAAAGCCGACGGAGAACTTGGAGATGTGGATGCCGCGGGAAGTGGCGGAGGCGACCGAACCTCCCTTGACGCCGCATCGCCGAAAGGGCAAAAGAAGAGATAAACAAAAACACCATATTTTGATCTGATCTGATATGATCAAATGCACCTCAAGCTCGATCCCATCAGCAGCAACGGCGATATCATTGATTTTCACGACCTGCTCGCTGAGGAATGGAGGTCCAGTTGCTGGTGCCATGGGTGGAGGTGTACGCTAGCAGCTTGGCGCGCGTCCTCCTCCGCCGTCCATGGCCCCTTCTTCACGTTTGCCTTCTCGCAGCACAGCGGCCGCCCCATCTCTCCCTCTCCCCCTCTCAGCTCCTACCACGGTGAGCTCAACAACAACAACACCAACTCTGAGTCCAGTAACAACAATCACCGTCGGCGTCCCCGTCCAGGCGCAGCTCCCCGGCGTCCTCGTCTCCGAGGTCATCCCTGGCTCCGCTTTCGCTGGCCGGCCGCGTCGCCGAACCGCCAGCTCCTGGAGAGAGGAGAGGGGAGATGGGGAGAGAGAGGAGGAAGAAGATTAGGGGAGCGAATGACAAGTGGAGCCCACGTGGGCCCCACCATTTTTAATTAATTCTTTTGGTGTAGCTGACATGTGGGGTCACTCTTTTTATTAATTTCCAAATCAAATTGCCACGTCAATGCCACATCAGATGAAGACCGGATCAATTTAGCCACGTAGACGCCACGTAAGCCAAAACCGCCACCCAAACCACCATGGGACTTATATTGCACCGGTTTTGATAGTTGAGAGACCCGTTGTATCTGGCTTTGTGATTGAAGGATGAAAATCGAATTCGTTGACAAGTTAAGGGACCTTGGATGAACTTATTCCCCTAAACAATCCAGAACCGGCAGGTAAACAGCCCAAAACAAGCAGGTAGCAGTGCAGCAGTCATACACTATCACACATGGTCTTGCTAACACTTAAAAATTTTTAATTAACTTTAAGTATATAATTTTGGGCTACATGCATATAATATATTACTTGTATATGATATTACACAAACCAATTATTAGACTTTTGGGTGTAAATTTGTTTTACCCCTTACCTATTTCGAATACCCAACCTCTAAATCTTGAGCCCGCCCCTGCTGACAGGATCGATAATTCTGCAAAAGAGGCCCTTTGATTCCATGGTAGCCAAAATGGCGAGCACCAGCAAAAATAACATAAAACAAAATGCAGCTTCATCAGTCAAAATTCGTGATGTTTCTGCCTTGCAGTATCTGAAGCCACTCACATTGGCTATCGAACATGAAAATTTTGAAATTACAAGTCTGTTTGCTGTGGAGAGCTGGGTCGTCTCGCCTGTCGTCCTGGTGTCTAGCTCTTCTAACTAGCAGCGCGTTCCTGGATACTAATACACAAAGCACAATCTATTCTATTATGCCCCCTTGACCTTGCGTGATGGTGGTCGCCGGAATATGTTGATGAGATCATCAAGACCCTGATTAAAAAAAATAAGTTCTCAACTGCAGGAAAAACAAAGCTTCCTGTCTTATATTTGAAGGCTTGAAATGATACATACCCGTGTAGTGATTACTAGGAAACTGAAGAGAATAATTAGGTAGGAGCCAATCACCAGAAGGAACAGTAAATCAAAAGTAACACTTGCAACCTGTGAATTAATAATTCGAAGAATGTATGAGAATATTTCAATGTGTTCATATCTTGCATAAGTCCATTTAAAATGAATTCTTTGTTGCTGTTAAGCAATTCATAACAGAATACATGAGCAGAATATTATAATACTCCCTCTGTCTCAATATATAGCTACATCTAGCATTCAAATTTCTCATAATGTACTTCTCGACCTAATTCCCCATCTCAACCAATCACAACTATCCCTGATTTAATTCTTCACCTACTTTCTCATCTTAACCAATCACAACCATTTCCAATCTCAGCCTTAATCCCTCCAAAAAAGAGGCATAAGTAGCTATATTTTGAGACGGACGAGCATAAAAATAAGGAATCACAAAGCAGGGCATATGCTCTTCACAATAAGCATATTAGACCATTCTGCTGCAAGGTTTAATTGTTCTACTCAAACGTGAACAAATGACACAAAGCCTAAACACTTACCTGATATACATTTAGAGTTGCCTTTGTTGCATCATAGAAAGTGAACATGCCATCAAGAACATCGCTTTGAACGTGGACATCAGCAGTGTGCTCAGATAGTTCCTGCAACAGGGCATGAAATGTCATGGTTTGCAAGAAAACTACGAACTAGGTGAACTAGATGAATACTCTATTTGATAGAAGGCAAACGAACCTTCTTTAGGGCTGCTATAAAGGGATCGTTCTTCTGAAGAAACGGTGCAACCCGTGGTGTTCGTGATAAAAGATCCAACCAGGACTGGATGTAGTGAGGGTTGATGGCTAAACTGCTGTTCTCCGCAAAAACATCAATATTCTTTCCTTTTAGTCCATAGATGTGTCTCTGTAAATGGAATTAGTATATAAGAACTGGTCAACTTCAGTTCAGAAAGGCAAAGAGGCAACTAGTCAGCTTTAATATCACTCATTAATCATAGTAGCTATTTTGAAGCCACGATGCCCTGTGTTTATCACATTTAAGAATGCAACCTAAATAGCGTGAACAGAAAAGCATTGTAATATGCATGTAAAACTGATGCACCATCATAACCACGTGAGGTTCTCCATTGACATTTTACAAAGCTACACAGTAAGTTTTATGCAAAGTGGGAAATCAGTTGAACACTCTACCCTACATACCACAGGGACAGTCAAATTATTCTTTAATCAGAATAAAAGCACTTACCAGGTTCAAGCAACAACTAGAATCTAAAACAAGTAACCACTGATCAGCTTTGCAAATTCTTACACAGCAGAAACCCGCAAACAGTACAGATCATCCAGAAAACAATAATAAATGTAAATATACAATACTGAAATAACCTACATTCTCTAAAATTATTTCAGCTGTATATAATAGACTGACCCAAGGGGGGCATGTTAGAACAAATAATAAAACAAACATCATCAATGAACTAGTGTATAAAGCAAAATGAAGAACTTCTACAAGCAATGATTTAGCTTACCGCAAGACTTTCAGAAACTAATCTGACAGTTCTAATTACTGACTCAGCATCTGCTGATTCTCTGCAGTGAAAAGTCAAATACAAACAAAAGGTTAGAAAAAATGGACACATAAATTAATGATGTAAAAGGAAAACATTATAAGTGCTTTACCTAGTGTCATAAAGGCCACCGGTGCTTTCTAAAAAGTCAGGAGGAGAGGACAATTCCGAAAGTGTTAGTGCAGTCACCCTAAATCTTGAGAACTGCTCATGTTCCCACGCAACCTGGAAGTTTTGAAAGCATGTTACTTGGCAAGCTACAAACATAAGACTAAATATAATAGGACCCCTGAACAGTCCAAATAATACAGTTCCAAAATTACATCTTCAAAATTGGTAGGTAGTAAACAAGGATAACATCCAGTGATATTATCTTGTTTGGAACTAATTTATAAACTGGCCCTTATGCCAATTACCAGTTAATTCTTGATCATGCATTTTTTTTATTCCATGCCATGCTACTACTATGCTAAAAGGAGCAAATCATCCAGCAGAAGATATGCAAAGTTGCAAACTAAATTAGTATGTTGGTACATACTATGTGCTGAAGATTGCACAGTATGATGCATAAATGCAATAGTGGTTGTGAGGATTGTGATGGTCATGAAACAGGCAAGTTAGTAAAGTTCTGCTGTTACAAATCAGTGGGTTGAGAAAACAATGGGCAGAATAAATATTTAATTACGCATACTTAGGACATATGAACTAAGAACCATTCAGACAGTCGAACAAGGGAAGCTAATATGAGGGCCAAACAAATAAAACCATGTAATGGCACTGCAGGAAGAAATAAAAAATTCACAGGGGCCCTTAGAATACATTTTTCTTTTAATGAGGTCTCTCTTGTGGCAATCTTTTCTGAGTCAAATTTGATTTAAGACGATGAGCTTTCACAAAAGTTCTCGTGGAAAAATTCTGTTTCTTTTGTATGCACCTCCACAAGGTTTTCATCCATCATTCAGTTCCATTTGAGTAAGAAAAACTATGATGAACAGTCCAATACTAGCCTACATGACAATTAAAAGCAATATGTACAGTATTTAACATCATCAACAATTGATAATACTTCTGGTACATATTAGAGTGCCGTGTTGACAACAGAGTCCAACAGATAGACATGTAACACATTGCATTGAATGTAGTAAAATCTATAAGGATCATAAATATATTATGTGGGTACCATCACCATGTCCATTCCTAATCAGAACTAATGGTAATATATACTCTTTAAAAAGGTGACAAGTGCATACCCTAGGATTTGAGACATTAATCTTCTTGTGCTTGATTCCAACTGAAACACCCATCTCTTTAGAGACATCAGAGAAATCCTGAAAGCAAAAGAATTCAGAGGTGTAAAAGTGACTGCCCTTGACAACTAATAACTGTTATGCACCAACATGCTTGAAATGGTCAACATACTTCAAAGATTTGTTTAATGTAGGGGTTTTCTGGTGGCTTTGACACATGCATCCAGAGTTCATTGTCCCAGGAACCAACGCTGTTCAAGCAAATTGCATAGTCAATGCTCTCACGCACACGCTGATCGAAACTTCTAAGCCACTGTACCAAAATTCAAAAAAGATACAGCCATGAGTTGATAAAAACAGATGCCACAAAGCAGATTTTTTTAAAAAAAAAACTGAAGAGAATAACTAACCTTGTTAGTTCCATTGTAATTGTAGGGTCCACCAGATGTTAAGCCAAACAGAAGGTTGTACTTGCCTCTGGTCTTAGGATTTGAATAGAGGCGTGAAAACAGTCTTGCAATCTCTAGAAGAGCCACAGCTCCACTCCCGTTGCTGTCGCTTCCCACAGAAAGTGCCTGAGAAAATATGCATTTATGCAAAATATCTAGAAGAATATTAAAGAAGGCACTAGAAACATTTTTCACGAAGACGTACTGGTGCAGCACCGAAAGTATCATAATTTGAAACAATGGCAATAGTTGGAAGTTGTTCAGTTTCACCCTCTCCTTTCAATCCAGGTAACCATCCCTTCAGATCAAAGTATTCATCTCAGGTATGTTCGTTCTCACAGATAAACAGTATTACTTTAGTAAAATATCAGCTGGAACAATCACTTCCAACAAATAGCCACAGGGCCATGGTTTATCCAGTCATCTCCGAAAGAGAAAAGGATCAATACATTAAAGTATAACGTAGACAAAAATCAAACAATAAACACTGAACCAAACTGTAAACTAATGGTACGAGGAGGGTACCTGGATATTTGAAATGGTCGGAGATGCCACTTTTCTAGGTTCCGGCGTAGACACGACAAGCTTGTAACTACAAATGCAGACAAAGGAAATTAAAAGAAGGCAACATGCAGTGTAGTATCATGTTATACTGTTGAAAGTACAACATGCCAGACGCGCTAAAGTAGGCTCGATTTCTTATTCTTGTATTACCCTCCTGTTGTTGCTGAGGCTGGCTGACCTGAAGAGGCAATTTTACGTATATCCGCCAGCAGGTTATCAAAGTGGTCATCCTGGAAAGCGAAGTAGACCGGATACTGCACGGAGTAATGGAAATAAGTTAGCTACTATAGAATAGTTATTAAACAAAGAGGGGACAAGACATATGTGGAGTAGAAAATAATGGATAGCATGAAGAAAACACTTGGAATGAAACTAATTCGTAGGGGGGATGATATAACGTATCAGTCATACATATAACTGAGACCATATGTGCATATTTGTAGTGTTGTTACATGGAGCAGATACTATCTCCAGTGTAGGGTAATTTGTGGTTGTAGAGCTCATCAGGCACACTGATTAAGCATTTAATAGGTTATAGTTTTTGGTGCAATTTGTGGCTGCTGTTGGTATGCCTACTCCATTTAGCAATCAATTGATAAGGGAGCACGGCTGAAAATATTGCCTCGAAGAAACCAAAACTGTATGTAATTACAAACCGAATTGGTAAAACATAAGAAGAGTTGGCAAGTGTAGGAAAGAAGGGAGTATGGAATAGTATTGAATTGGTTGCATGATGAATGAGAGAGAAAGTTAAGACTTACTGGCACTTGTTGATGCAAGAGCAACTGTTCCAGCTCAGCCAGAGAAGCCTTTACTTGTCCCTTGTCTTCATTGTTGGGTTCATGGTTTAGTTTTTTAGGCAGTAGAATGAGCAAGCCTCCCAGATATTTTTTGTCCGCCAAGTAGTCTGAGTATGATGTAAATGAAATTGAGCAGCAGTTCATCAGTGACAAAGACCATTAAAGCAAACAGCGCACGCCAAACAGAGCAGAGGTGAGCTCATGGTAGACGAGATCCGATCTCTATCTATCTAGTGTAGAGAGTAAATTAGAGGAAGGATCGGTAATACTAAGCAAGATGAGATGAGATGGAGAATTGACTTGAGAAGGGAATTAAGGTGGGTAACAATTATTAATTGAAGAAGAGAGAGGAGAGGAGAGGGATGTACCGCGGAGGAAGGCGAGCGGGAGATCGAGGAGCGGCGCGACGAGGGCGGAGCGGGAGAGGTCGGCGGCGGCGGGGAGAGGGAGGGCGGCGGCGTGGTGGTTGAGGGCGGCGGCGCGGGAGCCGAGAGGGGCGCCGGCGAGGTCGTACTGGATGAGGCGGTAGACTCCGACGGCGGCAGCAGCGTCGCCGAGCTCGACGCAGGCGAGGAGGAGGAGGAGGACGGCGAGGGCGGAGGAGACAGAGGCGAGCAGGTGGCCGGAGGGAGACGACGACGACATCCCTCTTCCGCCGCTTCAGATCCACGGGGGCGGGGGCGGAGATGCAGATGCCGATCGATCGATCGATCTCATGTACTAGTAGTAGTCTAGTCCTACTCCCCGGATTACCCTCTCTCTCCTCCCCGTTGGAAGGCTTCTAGATTGCACTAGTCTTTCTTCTTCTTCTTCTTCTTTCCTCCTCTCATTTCAAAACATGTTTTTCTTTGGAATTGCTCTTACAATAATATAATTAACGTCTATAATATTAAATTAAAACAGTTTGTTTTTTATATGTTAATCATTTTGAAAAAAAAAGTCTCCTTAAGTATTCAGATTGGTTTACTTAACCTCGCTAATTATGGAACCAATACTTTCTTTTATTTAAATGAAACCATATGTTTTACCCTTAAAATATAAAAACCGGTTTAAATAACCCATAATGTGGTTTTCCCTATGTACGCGATGATGTGGCGATGGTTTTGGCCACGTGAAACGGAGGGTAATGGATATAACCATAGAGAATCGCTTAAGTAATTATTTTTCACAAGTGAAAGTGGCTTGATAATAATATACATTATTGGTACTACTATGAAACTTTTATCCATGTCAATCAATGAGAAGAAGTTGGTGGGCCAACTTAAATTTAATTGACTAATATTTGTGCCATGAAAGCAAAATAAATACCACGTCACCACCTACATACTAAAACTACCTATAAAACCACTCTAGGAGGTTATTTGATCCGGTTTCCATACTCATGGGGTTAAGTATACCAACCCCAATAATGGTTATATATACTTTTTCCTAATTATTTTTCTATAAACAACAAACATTGGGTCACCACGATAATCTAGTGACGATATGGAGAGATAGAGTGTCAGAGAGTAGCTACAAGGCAACACAATGGTACTACGTTTGCAAAACATGTAAGCAGTGAATAGAGTTACCCTAGTGCATGCCCTAGGTTTCATACTTTTCAGCTATTTCAGCTTAGCTACTTCTCGATTTTCATTAGTACGCTTTTCAAACTCGCTGCTGGAGAAAGGGACTTTAGCCCTGGTTCGCAACCGTTTATAGTCCCGGTTGTGTAACCAGGATGCACAATCCGGTCCCGGTTGAAATAACCGGACTAAAGATGCATACCAAGTCAAAAAAAAAATGTGTGGGATGTGGGATTCGAACTCAATCTCTCACCTCAGCTCTCACGCATGTTATCATCCCACCTACTACACACATATGACTTAAATAGAGATGTTTTCTTTTTTAAACTAACCCTGGAGACATCTTTAGTCTGGGTTGATGGGACTAAAAAAATATGTGGAATGTGGGACTAAAGATAGTTGGGGGTTTGACATGGCCTGACAGCTATTTTGAACCGTGATTTTTAGTCTCGGTTCCCATTCGAATTGGGACAAATATGATTTTTGCCATCCAAACAAAGATCAGCTCTCTAGCAGTAACTATTAAACGGTACATTTTACATGAAAACTTTTTATACATAAGTTGTTTTAAAAAATCTAATAAATTTATTCATCAAAACTTTATATATTACTACTTAATTAATTAATTAATTATATGTGAATCACGTTATCGTTTTACGTGTGACTAATTAGCCGTTTCAAGAAGACAACGCAGCCTTAGTCCTAATTAAATGCCTAAACACAGAGACAGATCGACAGTCGCTCCCGGCCTCCCCTCGATTAATTGATTAGTTCGATCGATCGCCTGAATACACTGCTGAAATCGATCAACATCTTCTCAGAGTTATGAGTTAAGTATCCCACTACTGGATATCTGGATTTCTACTCCTTGACGAGTACTCAGAATATTACCCTAGTGTTTCTGGCTCAACCAAAATCAACTGCTGCTGCTGATTCAGTGACAATATATGAATATCGATTCCTATGTTTCAGGGTTCTGTATATCTGTGCCTTCCCTTTCTTGGTCGAAATGAATTGCTTCTTTAAGTTATCATCTTCACACGCTGGATTGAAGTCTTTGCAGTGCACCACAAATTCAATTCTTTGGAGAATATATATACTAAAGAAGATGGATGGATTCTGAATAATATGCTCAAAGTGTTTTTGGACTTGTTCACTCTGGTCTGGTGGCACATCGCATTATTGGAGTTTTCTACTCAAACAGGGTACACACACCTTCAGATATCTTACTGACTTAATTTTCCTTCCTTTATTTTTGTTCAACGAAATGGAGAGATCTATTCCTAACTTCGTTTTCTTATGCATCTTTTATGATGAAGAAGAAAAATACTTTTATTAATGTAATGTTTATTACTTTTCAAGAAAATCTGTAGCTCATTGAAGGTTGCTTCTGATTACATAAACCTAGTTAGTTGGTTCTAGCCTTGTTGCTTTTTTTTAGAGAAGGATATTTTTTTACCCGGCCTCTACATCCAACCGGATATATACGGCCATTGAAATAGGGAACTTAGCTCCGCAAACAACACAATCTGAAATTCGCTCTATATGAGATTTGCACTCAGAACCTTGAGGTACTACTCAGGTCATTGTAACCACTAAGCTATATGCTATATAATATATATATTGTTGCTTATCAATGCCGAACATTGATACTTCGTTCCTACCAAAATAATAAAGCCTTGCATTGAGAACATACAAATTAAGTGCAACAATATAATATAATCCGGCGGCCCGTTTCTTCCTAGCCGCCTGATGTGCAAAAAAACCTGCAAATTAAACCTGACCTACTAGCTATCACTTGGCGGTTGCTCACTAAACTATATATTTAAGATCTAGTTCAATCAGGAATTAGGTGATAAACTATTATTGGAAAAATGGGTGATAACCGTATGTTTCCTCATTTAAGCGTTTGGAATATATATATATATAGCAGTACAACAGCCTCAACCAAATATTAATATATACGTAATACAGACTGATTTGCTTTAAATTGTACGCCGGGCGCCTCTGTACGTACGTATATATGTCCAAGCTGAAGCTTTTCTTGCTAGACGAATCCACTACTATTAGGCGGATCCAGAACCAGATTGAAGTTGAGACATTTATTTCTTCCTTCTTTAGTCCCCTACTCTTCATTTTCTCACTCTTCTTCCCCTTTTATCTCTATCAATGGTGATCTCACGGTGTAAGGGGACGAGTCCCCCCAGCACCCACGTTGGATTACTATATATAATGTCCTTGCGCAATACAACATTAATGTTAGTTGCAACCTAGATTTCTCAAGAGTACTTATATCATAGGTCTTGTCCGTTTCTCCAACAAGACGAAGATGAAATTTTAAATACTCGTGGCACGCTTTTTAAACTGCTAAACGGTGCGTTTCGTGCAAAAACTTTTTATATGAAAGTTGCTCTAAAATGTTAGATTAATCTATTTTTTAAGTTTGTAATAATTAAAACTCAATTAATCACACGTTATTACCACCTCGTTTCACGTGAAACACTTAATTTTTATCTTCATCTTTATTTTTAGGAGATTCAAACACCACCTATGTATGGTTAATGAGATGTACATTTTGTATAAAACCTGAAAGTAACCGAGAAAAGAAACGGAATCGCTAATACGTATGGTGAACAAATTAATGCGCATGTTACTAAGAAAATACTCTTATAGTATATGGGAAAACTCAATTCATTCCTTAAGGGGATATCCACTTATTTTTGCATGTCACTTAAAAAGTCACAAAAAAATTTAGTAAGATAGATCAATATGTGATATGTCACTTCACAAACTTGTAAATTCAAATTCAACTTATACAAGTAGAAACAAAAATAACAAATTTGACTATGAATAGAACGCGTAATTCACGGTCAAATTTGTTATTTTTGTTTCGAATTGGATAAGTCGAATTTTAACTCGCATGTTTGCGAAAACATATATCATATATTGATCTATCTTGAAGTTTTTTTTCAAATTTTTTTGATAACTTTTTGAACGCCATACACAAAACGAAGGGATGTCCCCTCTGGGAAAAAAAATCCACTTCCGTATACATGTGGAATTGTGGATTTATGCTAGCTATTCCAAAGGAAATGCAGTTCATCTAGAAAAGATTAATTAGTGGAGCAGTATTAATTATTAGCAAAGTCATGAAGAAATTAAATCGATTGATAGAGCTATGTGGCCAAGTGTTGGGTGTTGACTGTTGAGATAAGAAAAGTGCATGTATGGGGGGGAAGGATTGAAGCGAGGTTAATTAGTAGACGCTGCATGGTTGTTGTCAAACTTTACTTTGATGCATGAATTAGCAGATTAGCTGGTAATATAAGTGAGGTACGTATTTTGTTGTTGTTGTTGTGTGGAGTAAATTATTAATTTGGGTGCGAACCTGCAAACGGCTCGCGATCGATGGGCTCTTCATAAAGTCGCAACGCTACTGTTCTGCTCTGCTAGATATATCTTGATCGATCTCCACTATATATATAGTGCTAGCTTATGAGATCAGCGAGGCCACCACACTAGCTAGAATTAAGACACAGATCGATCGATCGATCGAGTAAGCTTGTGGTGCAGTGCAGGTGGGAATTAAGCCATGGAGTCGCCGGCAAGGTCGTGCGTGTCGTCGGAGGCGGAAGATCAGCAGGCGGCGGCGGCGGCGATGGTGGTGGCTGGGTGCCCACGGTGCCTCATGTACGTGATGCTGGCCGTGTCCAACACAAAGCAGCCCAGATGCCCCAGGTGCAACACCCCCGTGCTGCTGCACTTCCACAATATATCTTCCACTCCAAACAAAAGCTAGCTAGCTTCACCTACCTACCTCACCTACTTAATTCATGGCTTCTTCTTCTTCTTCTTCTTCTTCTTCTTCTTCTTCTTCTTCCCACTTGCGAGCTTAACAATGCTTATGCAGCCCTAGCTTGATGAAATCATACTGCTAGTTGCGTGTTCCTTCATATTATTAGCATCAACTAGTTTTCTTTCTCTCTTAATGGCTCATTTCATCTATGTAAGGTATACGGGATACAGCTTAATTAACCTTGTGCAAACCAACGACATGACCATGCATCTATATATGAACTGAACACGCTTCATTAATTACATCTTTAGTCAAGCTTCTTGTACAATATGTGAGCTTAATTATATAAGCTCCACTACAGTACGTACGTACTTTCTATCGGTAGCAGAGAGTAATTTCGCTCTGATTTATATAGATGATTATCGCACAGCACCTACACCATCACAAAACACCAACCGCACATGCCTGCATGCT